ATGGCAGGGCTTTTCTATAGATCCTTGTGCCTTAGTTTGTGAGCAGGCTTGGCAGTATTTGATGTTTACTTTTTAATCATTTTGACAGATAATATCAAAGCTTATTTTTAAGCATTTAAATTTTCACAGTTACGGGAATTTCTGAGGTGGGGTCAGACAATGGGGGAGGGTCAGACAAGGGTTATTTAATGACAGTAGATGTTAAGAGTCAAACAAACAGTTAAAACACAAATTGTCAACATCACATGTCAAAAGATACCAAGTAAACATCCTTAAATCAAACTTCAGCTCTCAGGCAAAGTAAGAAAAATGCTGCTTATCTGTAAATTTCAATTATTCATGGAAATATCTTTTAGTCGGCATGCGTGTGTAGTGAAATCGATGTTTACCAACATTTACCGATAAAAGTCTAATCCTTCCAAGCTCATTTATGAGTAGGCTGACACTCAAATGAGTGACCTGGGGACCACATTCATTCATTCTCTCTCTCTCTCTCTCTCTCTCTCACACACACACACACACACACCCTGACCTTCCTGCCTAATGAACAGGGAGATGGGACTGGAAAGCCTCTGACAAAGCCTAGTGGGTTGATTTACATGACTGGAGTGTTAAAAATCTCCGGTTATAACCTGCTTAGGCAGGACAGAGTGGGTAAAAGATGCGGATGGGGCAGCATTCTACATTAGAGACACCAATACCCTGTTTCAGAGTTTGGGTAATTCAGAAGCACAGGCTCTTATATTCATATGGATCAACATACTAACTGGGAAAGCCCAGGAAGGGATACTGGAGGGAATCTGTTACAGTATCAAACTAGAGAACAGGATGAGTTGCTCCTTCAGCACCGGTCTGTAATGCATGGAAAGAAAATTTGCCTTATCCTGAGAGATTTCAGTCACAGACACATGCTGGAGATCTCATGCAGCCGACAGTAACATATCATGATGCCCCTTTGGCCCAAACAGTTAGCCAACATTCAGGATGTAACTGTCTGTGATATGTCCACTCATCCTAAGAGGGTGCAACAAACACTACTTTATTTCTTAGAATTCATAAATGTAACATATAACAACCAGTTATAGAAACAGATGACAGACTGCTACCTAAGGCAGAGAGGCACAGCTCAACCCACCTTTTTTCCAGACTGATGGATGAAGAACCAGATCCCATGTTTCCCTACAAAGCCCCATAGCCTGCAAGCAGGACCAGGAACCCCCTTGCAACTTGAAGTGATACTTATTATTTTAACACAGTTTTCAATACAATCTAGTGATACGCTGTCTGACCCTTATGACCCAGGGTCCAGTGGGGACGCTGGAAGGGGTGACTCAGTCTCAAAAAAAAGCCTAATGATAATCCTGTACAAAGAGACAGAAATCCTGAAAATGTGGATTTAGAAACTGCTGCAGTGGTGATTAAGACTCAGCCATATTTAGAAAGAGCATCTATCGAGATGTACCTAAAACCATCATTGTGTTTGGAGAACTGGTGCACATCAATCAAATCTGGCAGCCACTGTGCATCCTCATCTAAAATAATAATCTTGTTTCTGTTTGTGTGAAGTGTAAGCATCCTGGTTGTTAGCCATTTGCTAATGTACGCATGGAGGGTCACATTCAAAACAAAATAAAAACATAAAACCAAAAAAGTTTATTGACCGACTGGTGAAACACCGATGTCACAACAGCCTGAGCAAAGTGGAAATAATCCAGGCATACCAGGTCTAAAGATAAGGCAGGCTTTTAGTGTTTCTTTCTTCCAGTGTCTTCTTGAGTGCCCTACCTCACGCTACAAATGTGAGGGTCCAGGAAAAAACTGAAAACTGTAAGGAGGAAAAAAAGTGTTTTTTTCCTGAGGCCCCAGTACTGAAAAATTGGGAATTTTGGGCAAAATTGAAAAGAAACATTTATGCAAAATATTTTCTCTCAGAATGAACAGTGAAAAAAATTTAGAGAAATGTTCAAAACCATTTTATTACTGCTGCACTTCAGTCCTCAAAGATGTTTTCTAATAACTAATAAGTATCAAAAGAAGTTATTTTATTTCAAAACTTATGGCTTTAGGCAATTACAATTCATATATACTGCAGGCCCTAGATACCATATATATCTATGTAACCCTCTGGGGCGTATTATTACAGCTCCCAGTCACTAGAGGAGGCTGCCATCTTTACTAGAGAACAGAATTGAGTACAGCGACGCTTGCTTGTGGACTTCTGTCCTGCAAGTGGAGTTTGGTGTGGAGACAATGGGGGGGGCGGCGAGAAAGAGAGGGGGCAGGGTGATCAAATTTCCCAAAGTGAAAACAGGACACCACATGGGGCTGGCCCAAGCACTCACCCGAGCCCTGCCCCCTTCCCCTCCCCCACATGTGGGGCTGGCCTAAGCCACTGGCCTGAGCCCTGTTCTTCCTCCCCTCTATCCCCATACAGGGCTCTTGTCCAAACCCAGCCTGCTCCCCACATGGAGCTGGCATCGCTCCTTGCCCAAGCCCTGCTGCCTGGCCCCCCTGTGCAGCTGGCTGTTGCTTCTCACCTGAACCCTGCCTCCCCGCCATGCAGGTGGTGTGGCTGACCAGCAGTTGGCAAGAGCAAAAGGGACAAATGCCCGTTTTTGCAAAAAAAAAAAAAAAAAAAAAAATCAGGATGGCTGGGAAAGGGCTTAAAAAGGGAACTGTCCTGGCTAAAATAGGATGTATAGTCACCCTGGACAGGGGAAGAAGCAGCTGCTACTCTGAAGACATCCTTTGAACAAGCCTCTTCTGCAGTCAGAATATAAACTTGTAATGCAGGGGTTGGCAACCTTTCAGAAATGGTGTGCCAAGTCTTCATTTATTCACTCTAATTTAAGGTTTCGCATGCCAGTAATACATTTTAACATTTTTAGAAGGTCTCTTTCTAAAAGTCTATAATATATAACTAAACTATTGTTGTATGTAAAATAAATAAGGTTTTTTAAAATGTTTAAGAAGCTTCATTTAAAATTAAATTAAAATGCAGAGCCCTCTGGACCCGTGGCCAGGACCCCGGCAGTGTGAGTGCCACTGAAAATCAGCTTGCGTGCCGCGTTCGGCACACGTGCCATAGGTTGCCTACCCCTGGTGTAATGCAAACTCTGCAAAAAAAAAAAAAAAAAGCGCATTTTCTCTGGAAGTATTTACAGATGGGTGGACAAATGTACAGGGATAAGTTATTTAAAAGATTTAAGAAACTGGCTGAGGCGGAATCAAACACACACAAGAGCATTAATACAGGAGAGAACATCCATATAGCAGAGTATATTAGTAGTGAAATGAGTACTAGAGAAGGTTGGAAGTGGGAAAGTATTTCTTTGCAGACTGACAATGCCAGTAAAGGAAAGCAGCACAAGAAATCATAATGGACATATTATTGCAATAGGATGTGCTTCCCATGGCCTAAATGCTTCAAATTTCAGATTTCATGAAGTTGGGCACACTGGAAAAGATCTATAAAAGAGCAAAAGGAGTTATAAAATATGTTAAAACTACTCATATTGTATCTGCAGTCTTTAAGAAGCAGTGGGAAGAAAAGTATGGTAAGACTAAAACGGAAACCCTGAAACTTTCTAGCAAAACAAGATGGGGAAATGTAGTGATGTCATTTGAAAGTTTACTAAAAATGAAACAGCTTTTCAAGAAACCATGATAATTGAAGATCTAAAGTAGTTAAAAGTGTAAGGCACTCTACTTTGAGGATATCTTTTGGGTTCACCTGCAAAACTCTGAAGAGTCTACAGCCAGTTGCTTCTGCAAATCACTATCTGAATCAGATAGCATTTGTCATTGGACATTATCTTGGCCATAAATTGAGCAGAGTCAATTGTTTTTGAGAATCTAAGTGCATCTTTACTCAAGTCAGGATGAAGTAAAAGTGAAGGACTTTATTCGTAGATGGGAAAAATTTTGCTGCAAACCAATACATGCTTTTGCAAACCTCTTAGATCCAAGGTTCAAAGGTAGCAATGTTGGCAATGATAGCATTGTTACAGCATTTGACTGGATTACCAAACAAGCAACACTCTTAGGACTAGATGTTGCAAAAGTACTTACAAAGGCTGCAGAATACAGAACGTCTTCTAGGAGCGCAAACTGAGAATCTGCTAAGCAGATTGTTGCTACAAGATGGTGATGAGGCCTTTGTACAACACAATCTCAGACTCCTCTTGCTTCTCCTCGGCTTCAGATTCCTCCATTTTCTGCAGCCTGCGAAAGAAACGGGTCAGTGTTTGGAAATATGCACCCAGTCAAGAAACAGGCTACCATGTGAAAGAGTTGACAAGCTTGTTTCAATTCATGCAAATCCTAAGTTTAATACATCTTCATCTTTAACATAAAGATCATAGTGAAAGTTCAGAATTTTGAACCCTATGGATATAGCCTTCCTTTTTATTTACAAGTAAACAATATTGATGCTTTCTATTTTCAACCTTTAAAAATTTTGTTTCTATTTTAGAAATATGTCAACAGGCAAAAAACAAACAAACAAACAAAAAAACCCAACAACCACAAGTACCTTAGGGCAGAGGTTCTCAAACTGGGAGGTGCACCCCGCTGGGAGGGGGGGCATGGAATTCTGGGGGAGGAGAAGGCAGCATAAGAAGCTGCTCTGCCTTGAGAACTGGGCAGCCCCTATTCTCCACCAAACAAAAAGAATCACAATTATAAACTCAAAACAAAAGGAGATACTTTCCCCCCCCCGCTGGAGAGATGGGTGGGTGTTGTCCTGTTACTAGCCCCAGGGCATCAATACCTTCCACTAAACAGGGCCTTAGCTTTTGTTGTTTCCCCCTGTAGAGCGGAGACCAGCTTCTCATCCTGGAGAAGCCTGTCTCCCTACTACCCAGAACATGACTTCCCTCCCCCAGCCAAGGAGGGGTTTTTAAAGATCTCAGGCAGCTCTTAATTGGACTCAGATGTCCCTAATTGATCTTCTCAGCTTATAGGAAAAAGGGCCTTTATCATTCTAGGGCTAACATACCTGCCTTCCTTCTCTTCAGATCATATCAATCTTTCACCTTTTACTAAACATTTCCGTGGAGAGAAACATTTATGAGTTTCTACTCAATTTTTTGAACAGCTACTCCCCTCTCTTGCAGCCCTCCAGCCTGACTTCCTCACAAGTGGCAGATCCCTGCCTGCTCAAACCAGCCAAGAGTAACACCCAACATTGACTTCAAAGGGAGCCCATCCAGAGCCCCCAGATGCACTTCACTGCTTGTAGCACCATTTATTATTGTATAGCATGCAGCAGTGCGCTAGGTGCTTCAGAGCACATGAAGAAATAAAAGACCTCGGCCCAAAAGAGTACACTTTGAATTTAATAAAATGAGTGGCAAGGAGCGGAGAAGAGATATGGCATGGAAAGATGAGAGATACTATTAATGCAGCTACTACAGTTTATCTATGTACGCACTTCATGATGGATCAGGGATATCGGGTTTTCAATATCTAGACGGTAACGATACAAGATGATGAAAATGCTCAATTGCTTTGTTGGGAGCATCCTGGGAGAGATGAGTTTTCAAGAGGGATTTGAGAACCTGATCCAAAGCACATTGAAGTCAATGTGAGTCTTTCTGCTGGCTTCAGTGGGCCATTGATCAGGCCATAGAAGGAATAGTTGAGCATTCTAGGGGCATGACGTAATAAAAAGCATGGAGATGCATTTGGAATCATCTGAGCAATTAGCTAAGACAGTGTCAGGAACTCTGCTAGCTCGGTGTGCAGTTGTCTGGCGACCCAATGAGCTCAGCTGGGCCCAATAAACCCTCGCTAAGTGCCTATGCTCCCTGGCTGGACAGAAGGGCCAACAGATCACTATTTAAGCCTGGAGGCCAAAGCAGCACAGTGTGTTCCATACCTGTAGCTGCACCAGATCTGCTTTCTGTACAGGCCCTTGTTCCAACCCTAGTTGCTACTTTCCTCAGAACACCTACTTCTGACCATTGGCCTGTCCCCTGACTTATGTCTCCAGTTCTGTGCTCTGATTCCACTCTGACCACTAGGCCAGCTGCCTGTTCTCACCACTAGGTTGCACTGCCTGGACCCTGGTGTGTATCACACAGCAACAGATGGGAAAAGAAAGGGTATAGGAAGGTGACAGCTTCAACACAAACTGATCATGGAGTTTATTGTCCATTTTAATCTTTGTTTAAATGTTTTGTTATATTAAGATCTGAAGCAGACTCCAGAGCTGGAGGTAAATGTACTGTGCTATATTTTTTTGCTAAGGAAAGCAAGTTACGTTTTTATTTAAAATTACGATAAGCATGCACTGCAGCACTTTGCTATTCAATCTCTGTTGGGAGGGTGGTTGACGCTGCCTTTTTGGGGGGATGAACGTGATCAGGTTTGCGAATGAGCAGAGTGAGGAACTAGCAAGGCTCTACTCTGCCTATTTAATCAATGGCCTGGAGAAGATGTTGCTATGGCCCACTGTAAAATAGAGTGAGGACAGTCAGTTGCATGAGTTTCTTTGTTCAACTGTGTGTGAATTTAATGCTCGTTAAGGAGCCCTGGCTGATCGGTCTGGAGACTCAGGTCAAATTGTCAAACGTGGGTGCCTAAAGTTAGGCATCTCAACAAGTGACCTGCTATTCACGGTGCTGAGTATCTGCAGCTCTTAGGGGAGTTCAGAGGTGCAGAATTCCAAATGTAGGTGCCTAGATCAAAGGCCTGACTTTTGAACTTGGCTCAACTTAAGGGCACCCACATTTTGCCCAGAAGTCCTCTCTGTTTATCCACAAAATTGGCACAGCATAGTTCTCACTATACAATAGAAAAGCCTGCCTCCCTTCACTGCTACACTGATAGTAACCAGAAATCAAACTGCATGAGAGTGGCTAAAAAGAGAACAAGTTAGGTGGAGAAGCCTCCCTGGAGTGAATCAAGTTGCAAGCAATTTCAGCACCTGTCAGAGAGGGAGTGTCACTCATGTCCTGTTGGGCTGAACATTCAACACCCCCTCTTTTTCTCTCCTCCAATTCCCTTCTTCTCCTTTGAAGCAGAATCAGCAGTCACAGGCAGATACCTTCCTTAAGAGCATTTCAAGACAAAGCATCGACTTTAACACGGAGAGGTCACCCCTGGTATGTCTCACAAGTGCCCTCATTTTCATCACTTACATACCTTATCTATTCATCTGAACAGATAGGGTACTCAATACACCATTACAATTACAAGCCACATCCAAAGAAAGTACTGAACTAAGCATGAAGCTGGAGTGCACACAATGCAGCGTGAATACATTATGCCGGCTGCTGGCTCATGACAATGGGCCTGTATAATTAACTGGATGAGGAGATTCAAGTGCTGTTTCCAATTAAAAATAACACTTTTGCAAGGGCAAATGAGTGAGGCAGTGGTTGTAATTCTAATGCAGCTCTAGCAGCCGCCTCATTTGTCCTAGAAGAACCTGTCTTCCTGCCCCAGATTGGTACCCTATACCCTCCTCTTCCTCCTATACCAAAACAACTTCCTTCTCCCTACGTGGTGGTAGTGCTCCTACATCCCTCAGTGCTTGAGAGCTACTGACCAGGGCGGGCGGGAGGGAGATTAGAAAGAATTCCCCCAGAGGAAGTTATTCCACAACAGAGCGAGTCAAAAATATTCAGTCAAAAAATTGATGAAAAATGGTCCTTTTTTAAAAAAAAATCATTTTTATGTGGAAAAGCCTCTCATGAAATTTTCCATTTTTTGATGAAAAGCAAAAATTAAACAGCTTTTGGTTTTCTAAAACCTAAAAAATGCTTGCTTTTTTTCATAGAAAAGCAGAACACGTCTGTGAAATATTCTGAGGGAAAAAATGTAAAATTTGCATTGCTTTTAAAAATTTCCACACAAACTACCATTTTCTGAACAGCTCTAGAATGGACCATTGACAGGGTTCTTGCACCTTCCTCAGAAGGAACTGGTAGTGCTCACTGTTAGAGACTGGACTACTGGGAGGGCACTTCCTCTGCTTCCATTCCGGGTTTAACCATGGTGCTTTTATCCAGGAAGGAGAGAGCCTAAAGAGCCTAAAGAGCTCATCCCAACCTGTTGTAAAGCTTTGATAATAGCAACAGATAAATTCACTCATATTGACATTATCATTTCTCTTTGGGAAGACAAATGAGATTGAAAGCACCTCTCTCCTAGGCAACAATTATGGGCTCAGTCTTGTTCTCATTGAAATAAATGAGAGTTTTGCCATTGATTTAGTGGAAGCATGATTGGGCCCCTTAAATGCACACTGCATGTTGCTTTCAGTGGTCAGCAGACATCACTTCAGGAAATCAGTTTGTTATGTTGCATTACACAGTGTGACAAAATGATGCAGTGAATAAGGAATGAAATGCTGACTCTTTCATAAATCTTTAAAGTGACAAAGCTGTTGTGAACCAGGGAAGCTACTGTCAGTTCGTTTAGCAGACAAAGCACAAACTGATGATGACTGAACATTTAGTGAGTGACATCCATCCCCACGGCGGGTGGTTTGGCCTCAAGCATGAAGAATGGGATGTCAGTTCATCTCTTCTCCCAGTGAAAGGACAGTGCACTGTATATATACACGCATTAACCCCAAACAAATTAACAATCACCTTGGGAATTCAGCGACAAAGTGAGTATTCACCTACGAAAGCTTATGCTCCAATATGTCTGTTAGTCTATAAGGTGCCACAGGACTCTTTGTCGCTTTTCTTGGGAATTGAGAATTTCAAACTTATTTTTTTAACTTATGCAGTGTTGTTGTAGCCATGTTGGCCCCACGATATTAGAGAGACCAGGTGTGTGAAGTAATATCGTTTATTGGACCAACTTTTGTTGGTGAGAGAGACAAGCTTTCGACTTTACACATACAGGGCCGGCTCCAGGCACCAGCTGACCAAGCACGTGCCTGGGGCGGCACCTTGTAAGGGGAGGCCAATCTTGAGGTGGCGGGGGGCGCTCGGGGTAATTTTTTTTGTTCTTTTGTTTC